ACTTAACAGTTGTTAAACAAATAGTAAATGCTTTAGCTGAAGCCATCAGTTTGGATTATATCAACATTCAGTTTAAAGAATCATGTTTAACAGCAGAATTCATGGTGACAAATATGATGCTGTACAGGAAAAAAAAAAACACAATGTATATTATTAACACAAACATTTAAGTATTTGGAGTGTTCCGTCCAAATGTATATAATATATATATATATATACACATGTATATGAAAAATGATTGGAAAAAATTCTTCCAGAACTAATGCCATTGAAAAAGTGAAATGTTTCCTAAAGGTTAAAATGCCCGTTTTATATAACAAACCAATTCGCGAAATGATTTTTGTGCAAGATTTTGTTAGTTCTACCAGTAATCTTGAGACTTACACTACCTTATCAACCGTTGGTGATACACCACCTTCCTCTCTTAACCGCTGTGGGTTGGAACAGACAATGACCCCTTCCGTAAGCCAATCATCCGGCTGTTTTCGTGGCCGCCCAGTGCGACCGATTCCCAGTTTCCCTTGCAGCTCTTCAATGAGTAGATCTTGCGAGTTACTCTTGTTGAGAATGAGTGGGCCCATTTTTTTGTGCATATGTCCGTCACGAAACATTGGGTGAACGTTGGACGTTTCCTTTGTGCGTCTGATGACCGATTTAAGCTGCGGAGAGGCAGCATTCAAGAAGTCACCACTTTAAATGTATAGATCATGCAATGCTTTCTTTGCAAACGCCACACAAGATCTCAGATATTCAGTCCAAAAGCCTTTAAAAAGCAGGCAGCAGGACAAAAATCAGTACAGTAACCTCACACCCATCAAATTTGGGCCAATGCAAAGTGTAGCTTGAAGCATCCTCTTTGTAACTCACAGTAACAACAACGCTAACCTTCTACAAACAATCTTAAATGATGCAAACTATGAAGCAAACAACATGCCAAAGCAATGCAAAATTGTCAAAGCAATTTTCAATTGGACTAAAAGGTTAAAATTGCTATCTCGACTAAAAAAAATCCATTCAATAATAGTGAATAAATTTAATTAAATTATTGTTATTTATTTATTTATTTGATTAACAACAAATGCATGTAATATATTTGTAAATCAATTTCTGGTATTATTTAAATACATCCCTTTATAGGCAAGAAAAAGACTTTGGGAAAAAGTTTTACTGACAGTTCAAATGCAATCGATATTATTTCAACGACCTGCAATTTTAATCATTTTAAACTAGTTACTGGCAAACACAAATAATTGAATGATTGATGCAAGTGAATCTGCATGATTTTAATGAGAAAATGACTCAACTGTTCAACCCTTATGGCGCTTTTCCACTACACAGTACCAGCTCGACTCGACTCACCTTTGTTTGGTTTTCCACTGTGTAAAAGTTGTACCTGTACAGAGGCGATACTAAAATGTGATGTGAAAACAATGCCGACTGCTGATTGGTCAGAGAGAATTGTCACCATTCACGGCGTCATCATTGCACGCGCCAGATGGAGTATCCAGAATATCCCCGCCATTTTTAAATAGTTTGGCTAGACATAATTCACCTTTGGCTAAGCCCCGCCCCCCTTAGTTACTGTTGCTACATCCGTCAAACTTCATCTGCACTCTGCATGGCTTATGCTGAGACAGCTGTTCCTGCTGAAATGTTATCAAACTTTTATAAAGCAACAAATAAAGTGTCCGATAGAAGTAGGTAAAAGGGGCTGCAATATGCGTTCGAAGGCTACATTCAAGACATACAAACGCAAGAAACAACAAGGCATCCAAAATAGAGGCAAAAGCATAACGTTACCGGTCACAGTCAAAAAATGAAACACCGCATATCCTACTAATGGAGACGGAGGCTGGGACTAACAATATCAGGGAGCAACACTGTTCATGCAAAGCTGGGTAGGTCTCTATTCACTTCTATAATCGTTATTACAAAGCAAACGGACTACACGAGTATAACGTTGTATTTATTAGCAGCGTGTGCTAGCGTATCAACAACCGGTATGAGAACCGAAATCATAACCTAAAACATTATAAAACGGTCTAACTAGTATAACTTCACACTCACAGTAAGGTTAGAAGTAAAAAAAGATGTGCTTGTTGATTTTTGCGGGGTTTAGCTGACTGAGGACGTCCATACAGTTTAATCCAAAGACGACAATTGTAAGGATTTTACTTTGGTTTTGGGAAGGGAAAAAACGGACACCCCCCTCCAACCTCTCTGGGAAACGCGTATCTTTGTTACAAATGCCCGAGGCACAACGTTAACCATATTTTGGATAAAACTACGACGGTAATAGCCTGCCGAGACCAACAATATGAGACGCCTGTATTGAAAGGCAATGGAGCGCTGTGAAAAAGTGTCGGGGCTGCGCTGTGATTGGTCAATCTACATTCTAGGGTGTGGCTTAGCCAAAGGTGAATTACTAAACTTACTACTATTATTATGGCAACTCGGAAGAATACGCCTTGGTCAAACGAGGAGGTGCGGGCTTTCCTTTGTTTGGTTGCCGAAGAGAGGATCCAGCGAGAGTTTGATGGACCAACGAAGAACGAAAGGCGTCTCTATGACGACCAGCTACTATTTGTGGCGGTACTGTCTGCAATGGAAAACCGAGTCGAGTCGAGGCACTACTGGTAATGGAAAAGCGCCATTAGACGCTACACATCAAATTTAGCAATTACAAATAATTTGCCTCATGCAAGACAATCAGAACATGGGACCACAGTAAATAACGCCCTTGCAGAACATCTCCTGCAGCTATCTCTAAAAGGCATCATGTGCCCTGAAGAAAGAAAAAAAGTGAAGATGGAATGCAATTGCACAATGCAACCAATGCAAAACTGCAAAGAAACAAGCAAGCCTAGCCTTGTTGTCCTTCTAACGCCATACACCTCATTGAGGAAGCGCGTCAGGGCATGCATTTGAACATCCCAAAGACTCCTTCCACACAATCGTATCCACCAAACATACTTTGGATTCCTCAATTCTCAACCTTTCCAAAAACACAATACAAAGCACTGCAACTGAATAGAGCAGCTACAAACCAAACCAAATTAAATGGCTAGCCCTCCCATTTTAGGAGCACTAAGTGACTTGGGTATCGGGTTTTTGAGAGGCATATTTAACTTGCTAATGGTTGGTGCTTCTATCTGAGCAGGATGGAAAGGTTCAGATTGGATATCAACAGGCCCCTTGGCATAAGGATCAGGCTCGTGTATTTGAGAAAGCATAAACAGCCGTACGTGGTGCAGCATGCTCGCTAAATTTAGGGGTGCAAATTGGAGACAGAGTTGGTGTGCCTCATACTTGTCCAGAAGCGGAGAGCCTTTCAACTGCTGATGGCTGAAGAAGTGGAAGGTCCAGAGAAACATCTGACGCTCCAGGGTATAAGGAGTCGTCTGTCCAACGGATATCAGTGTCTTTATAGCCACCCTGTGGCGTCGATTGATGAAAAAGTGACAGAATGTCATCGTTCATTTCTTCATTTCTAGGATCTCCTTCAAGAGGTTTCACCTGACTCTGGTTGGGAAAGACTAGACGTCAACAGCTTGTCCAGAGCTTCCTCCAGAAGAGGCTTGGGGCAAGGAAGACTTATTTCCAATATGCCAGGTCTGGAGTTGTCAGGTTTCTCTTTGGATGGCTTGGGAGTTAATGTTAGGGTTGAAACTGGAGGAGCAGGTAGCGCAATGAGAGTTGGCACTGGGCTCTTGCCAGTAATCCCTAGATCAGGGTTTGGTCCAGGGAAAGGACTTTTGGTTGCTCTAACAGCTGTAATAGGGCTTGGGCTCTTTCTGACCACAACTGGACTGGAGGTCTTCGCAATTGTTACAGGACTAGAACTTTTCACGTCGACAACTCGATTTGAGCTCTTCATAACCTCTGGTGGACTGGGGCTTTTAGCCACTGGGCTAGAAATCCTTGGATTTATAACTGGCGAGGAGGCCTTTGCCACCACAGGTGGACTGTTTTTGGAAACCAAAATCGGACTTGAGGTTTTCGGGTTGAAGATCTTGGGTGAATCGACTTCATGTTTCTTTAAACTTGATGGCGGAAGGCTTGAAGTTTTTGCAGATGGTTCTGGTGATAAAGGACTCTCTGCGCTAGAAACTACCAGTAGTTTGTCAGAATGGCTCTTGGAGTTGGACACTGGAGCTTTGGTTGTTGATTCCTCAACAATGTGGAGTTCCGGCAGAAACGATGTGCAATTAGAGGAAGGAAAGCTGTGGTCAGATACCTCTGCCTCTGGGACAGAAGGGACTGCGAGGCTCTCGGTTACCACAAGATTGGAAAGTTCTGACCCTTTAGTGGATAATGAGCCAGTCTAGACAACCAACAGTAAGACGACGACAACAAATCAAAGAGAAAGGGAGGAAAGCATTTGAGTGGAATCATGAAGGCAAGCTGGGAATTATCCATTATATTATTCTCAAATTAAAAATTATGCATAATGCAATGAGTTATGTAAGCTTGCAATTGGCTTATTTAGTCAATAAAAATGTATTCCAAGAATGCAACAAAGTACAAGTCAGATATTTGGTTGGTTTACCAACCTGAAAGCAAATATGATCACCAGCATTTCAAGATATAAACATGACACCACAAACACAGCATTCCAGATTCTCTCTTTTCAACCGCAGTGTGGCTCGCGTCCAAGAGAGATATGCTAACAAGACCTTTATAATGGACCCATGAGAGCGTGCCCTCATACAAGGCATGTAAACCTTTATTCATTTCAAAGGCCTTGATTGATAATAATCTACTGTTTCCTATCTGATTATCATTATCAGCACTCACAACATTAAAACACAAAGCCAATGACAACTCATTCCAGATTATTTGCCAATAAATAAGATTTTGCTAATTAAAAGAATGTTCGAAAATAAAACCTTTTCTACTGTGTGGCAAAGCAATGGATCATGGTTTAGGAAGTTTGTTTGAAAGGAACATTTATAGAAAAGGTATAAAATGTCATTTGTCTGTCCTGCTCCAAGACTTACATTGCTCTGAACTTTGAAGTCAGACAGTGAAGCCATGAGTTCATCGAGTTCCCGCGTCGCTGAGGAGGCTGAGATTCGGGCCTGCTGCTGGGTGGGAGTCTCTTCCTGAACTTCTCTCAACTCAGGAACCATCGGCACTGATGGGGCGGGTCTATAAATGATACAATATTAAAAATGGGATGTAAGAAAAGATCTAGCGCACAAATAAGGCACCTGGTGAAGTCAACAGTCCAAAAGACCATAAAGAATATCTGGGATTTAAATTCTAAATTAAACTCTAAATTGAAACAACATATAAGGGTGGGCTTTTAATTTTGTATTAACAATAAGAACAAAGATTATTACGAATACAATAGACCAAAGATACAGAAATACAAGTCCTTCAGCTACAGTAGGTTAAATTTAATAATCAAACACTGCATAGTCTGAGAGGTGTTTTTTTTTTTGGGCAACGCCCAATTGTTTTCCTTAGGATTATTTTTTTTCTATTATTATTATTATTTTATCATTCATGCTTGTTTCTTTATCACTCGTCTAAAGTGTCAATGTCTTTAATAATACTGAGCTATGCGGATTTATTTACTTAATGATAAAGCAAAATCTCTAACAATAGACATTTTATATCCTTTCCATGTTAAATATTGTCATAACGCTCAGCCCTACAACATATCAACTTTTTATTACGTCTAGTCTAGTTATTACGAGAAAAAAAATTTGGCGCCGACTTGAGGTAAGAAAATATAATCGCTTAACATTTAAGCAATTTTACTTCACAGATGAGAGCAGAAACAGCAAAAATATAATAAAAAAACTATGATACACCTGGGGTTTTAGACCTGCTTAATGGTTTAAAAGACAATTAATAATCAGTTATATTATGGTTTAATTGATGGCGGGTACTATTGTATTCAAAGTTTTACAGTGAATTGATTTAACTGCATTGTTATATAATTGTTGGCACTGGCACTTATGAACACTAAATGGGTAAAAATTGCAATAAATAGGCTTAGTTTTGGAGCCAAATGTTGGAGTTGGAATAAATACCACTAGTTTTTTTTTTTTTTACAGAAATAAAAGCCAGACCACTTGATCATTTTACAGCCTTATTTTCATTATACAATAATTGTTTTCCTTAGGATTATTTTTTTTCTATTATTATTATTATTATTTTATCATTCATGCTTGTTTCTTTATCACTCGTCTAAAGTGTCAATGTCTTTAATAATACTAAGCTATGCGGATTTATTTACTTAATGATAAAGCAAAATCAATAGACATTTTTATATAATTTCCATGTTAAATATTGTCATAACGCTCAGCCCTACAACATATCAACTTTTGTCTAGTTATTACGAAAAAAAAAATCATTCTACTCACTAAAAAGATGTAAAACAAATGTAAAATATTTAAATTCTATCATAAAATATGCACAGATATTTATAAAACGGTTAGTTCCAATCCTTGATTCTGATTGGTCAATAGCTGTGCTTATTCATGATAAATCACAGCTATGACGACCGCTTGACCCAACGGTTCTGTGCATCACTGTGCAACACTGCAGTTCCCATGTTGTTGTTTATTTGAGCTTTAATGCATATTACACATTGGAACGTTGTTGCTGTTCACGGTCAGGGACTATTTTTTTCTAGCAGAAGGAAGGCTTTTAATGATTTTACTTCATGAAAGTTGCACTAATAAATATTTTTTGTACTTTAATATTTGTATTGTGTGGTAACCGTTTTATAAAAGCAATAAGGTACTCGAGGCAAGTGCTGTATCGTGAATAAGTAACAGCAGAAGGGGTTACTCCGCTTCGCGTCGAGCCTAACAATGCCCTTCAGCCGTTACTTATTCACGATACAGCACAGCTTCTCGTACCTGATTGCTTGCTTATAAAAATGACATTAATCAAATGTTTTCAGCAGAGTGTAATCTTACGCAGGGGCCGGCACTGAGCTCTCCAAATCGTTTAACAGGCTCTCCACACTGGGTCTGACGTCTTCTATCCCCCGACCGGGTGCACTGCGTTTGGGTTTCTCTAACTTTGGAGGAGGGGCTTTCACTACTGATGAAACACCGTTTTCTGGGACATAGCGCTGAGCGTTGCTGGCTGGTTTAGGTGGGTAGGTCTCTGTGAAATATAAAAAAAACATTTATGCAAGTTTTAACAACATGTAGTAATACACTTAAAGCGCTCCTCAACCACCACTAATGATGCGACGGCAGCCATATTGCACCAGAATGCCCACCACACACGGATGATCAGGAGGCCATAATGGAAAGGGCAAATTTGGGGTTAACCCCAGTACTCTTTAATCCATCGACATCCTGTGATTTTTAATGACCACAGAGATTCAGGACCTCGGTTTACGTCTCATCTGAAGGTAGTGCTTGTTTTGAAGTGCTCACCTTCAGTAGCGAAGGATGGTGTGCTGTGCTGTACGGCGTTGAGCTCCAGCAACAGACGGTCCAGTTCCGATAGGTTACTGCCCAGTGATGAGCTCATGGCGGCAATGGTGGGGGAGTCAGTAGTCTTCTGCTTGTTGGGGAAACTATAGACGTGCTCTTCGTCCGACTGAGACACGCGAGGACTGGCGTTTTTCGGAGCCGACTTGAGGAAAGAAAATATAATCGTTTAACATTTAAGCAATTTTACTTCACAGATGAGAGCAGAAACAGCAAAAATATAATAATAAAAACTATGATACACCTGGGGTTTTGGACCCGCTTAATGGTTTAAAAGACAATTAATAATCAGTTATATATTATGGTTTAACTGATGGCCTTACTATTAAATTCAAAGTTTTACAGTGAATTGAATTAAATGTATTGTTATATAATTGTTGGCACTTATGAACACTAGTTTTGGAGCCAAATGTTGGAGTTGGAATAAATACCACTAGTTTTTTTGTTTTTTTTAAGAAATAAAAGCCAGACGCTTGATCATTTTACAGCCTTATTTTCATTATACAATATTTGTTTTGGATGTTTAAAAACACACACAAACAAATTATCCGATTAACCTATCAACAGGTCGCTTAGGTGCTAGATTAATCGATTAACCGATTGCTTAGGTCCTAGATTAATCGATTAACCGATCGCTAAGGTGCTAGATTTATCGATTAACCGATCGCTAAGGTGCTAGATTAATCGATCAATTAGGTGCTAGATTTAAACGATTAATCGATCGCTTAGGTGCTAGATTAATCGATCGCTTAGGTGCTAGTTTAATCGATTAACCGATCGCTTAGGTGCTAGATTAATCGATCGCTTAGGTGCTAGATTAATCGATTAACCGATCGCTTAGGTGCTAGATTAATCGATCGCTTAGGTGCTAGATTAATCGATTAACCGATCGCTTAGGTGCTAGATTAATCGATCGCTTAGGTGCTAGATTAATCGATTAACCGATCGCTTAGGTGCTAGATTAATCGATCGCTTAGGTGCTAGTTTAATCGATTAACCGATCGCTTAGGTGCTAGATTTAAACGATTAACCGATCGCTAAGGTGCTAGATTTATCGATTAACCGATCGCTTAGGTGCTAGATTAATCGATTAACCGATCGCTTAGGTGCTAGATTAATCGATCGCTTAGGTGCTAGATTTAAACGATTAAACGATCGCTTAGGTGCTAGATTAACCGATCGCTTAGGTGCTAGATTAACCGATCGCTTAGGTGTTAGATTAATCGATCGCTTAGGTGCTAGATTTAAACGATTAACCGATCGCTTAGGTGCTAGATTAATCGATTAACCGATCGCTTAGGTGCTAGATTAATCGATTAACCGATCGCTTAGGTGCTAGATTAATCGATTAACCGATCGCTCAGGTGCTAGATTAATCGATTAACCGACCGCTTAGGTGCTAGATTAATCGATTAATTAACCGATCGCCTAGGTGCTAGATTAATCGACCGCTTAGGTGCTAGATTAAGCGATTAACCGATCGCTTAGGTGCTAGATTAATCGATTAACCGATCACTTAGGTGCTAGATTAATCGATTAACCAATCGCTCAGGTGCTAGATTAATTGATTAACCGACCGCTTAGGTGCTAGATTAGTCGATTAACCAATCGCCTAGGCGCTAGATTAATCGACCGCTTAGGTGCTAGATTAAGCGATTAATCGATCGCTTAGGCGCTAGATTAAGCGATTAATCGAGCGTTCAGGTGCTAGATTAATCGATTAACCGATCACCTAGGTGTTAGATTAATCGATCAACCGATCACTTAGGTGCTAGATTAATCGAATCAATAGATCGCCTAGGTGCTAGATAAATCTATTAATCGAGCGCTTAGGTGCTATATAAATCGATTAATCGATCGCTTAGGTGCTAGATAAATCTATTAATCGAGCGCTTAGGTGCTAAATAAATCGATTAATCGATCGCCTAGGTGCTAGATAAATCTATTAATCGAGCGCTTAGGTGCTATATAAATCGATTAATAGATCGCCTAGGTGCTAGATAAATCTATTAATCGAGTGCTTAGGTGCTATATAGATCGATTAATAGATCGCCTAGGTGCTAGATAAATCTATTAATCGAGTGCTTAGGTGCTATATAAATCGATTAATCGATCGCTTAGGTGCTAGATAAATCGATTGCTTAGGTGCTAGATTAATCGATTAATCGATCACTTAGGTGCTAGATTAATCGATTAATAGATCGCCTCGGTGCTAGATAAATCGATTAATCGAGCGCTTAGGTGCTATATAAATCGATTGATCGATCGCTTAGGTGCTAGATAAATCGATTGCTTAGGTGCAAGATTAATCGATTACAAAAAGAATCGATAGCTGCAGCCCTACAAATATGCAGAATATGGACCCATTAATGAAACCATGAATATGTTGAACGGGCTTAATGGCACAAGTTTCTGAGGCAACTGAAGTGCTTTGCTCAAGGGCACAACAGAAAGTGGAACAGGACGGCATCTGGTATTTGTTGTAAGGTTAAAGGATAACCCAGTAGACTCATATAAAGACCAGCAAAAAGCATGAGGAATAAAGAAACACACCAGGAAGTAATGGTCATTTTACCTGGGTCGAAGAGTGCTTTGATTCCGGCTGTTCTACCCAAGATCCATTCAGTGTTTCAGCAGGAGGGGAAGTTACTCGAGGTGGGGAGGACACGTCCTGATAAGAGTCACTTCCTGTGGGGTAGGAATATGGCGTCTCTTCTGGCAGAAAAACAGCTTGCTTGGAAATGTGGGAGGTTGTGGACTCCAAATCCGCAAGAAGAGCATCTGTAGAAACAAAAAACAGACTGGTTTCATTCTCAGGGAATGTGTCCTGATAAAACTTTGGATAAAAGTGTCGGTACAAATCTAAAGCTATGGATATGCAGGTCTTTTCAAATCCATAACCTCATTAGAAATCAAACGGGTTGTTGAATAACAGGACTTTGTCAAGTCTGTTCAAAACACTTCTCTGTCGGCTGGAGTGGTTATGAATCACATGACTGGGATGGTGAAATCACTGCAGGCTTCACTCATATGGGGTGTGGTGGTGAGTGACAACCTCACATGTAAAGACTGCTCTAAAACTGCATGCCTACAGGGATAGATTCAGCAAAAAGTGCAAAATGCATGTGGATAAACGGACACACCTCTTAATGCACACATAAATCACTATTCAAAAGCCATAGACTCAGGAACAGAACAGAAAGCACTTCCACACACACACACAGCTAAGTAAGGTTGTAAAACATGCTCTTAAGCAAACACTTTTCGGACCGTCTATAGTTTAAAACTCATTTTTATAGCAATTACTTTAGTGATGAGGCACCTTTGGATCTCGGTTGCATCACCATCCTTTCTACCAAGTCAGTCGTGTCAACACAGGAAGTGACTGATGATGTCACTACAGCATGACAGATGACACCTCAAGGTTCTCGATACTTAAAGCAGCATTTCATCTCAATTTGTTTGTCAAACTGAACCAGTGATCGGAGCTGTGAGCCCAATGCTAAACTATGAGAAATGCGTTATTAAAAAATGGAAATCTATTAGTATAAAAATTTATTTTGTATGGGTTTTTGTAGAATGACAAATTCATTTTATTTATTTAAATTCAAAACATGTAAAGTTTAGAGCATATTAATTCATAAATAATATATTACACATAAAATTCAGAACAAACTAATTAATAAATATATAACTCATAATATTCAGAGCAAATTAATTCATAAATATAAAATTAATGAAGTTTATAAAATTAATTTATAAACATAACATAATAATTCATAAATATTTATTGCATAAAATCCAGAGTAAATTAATTCATAAAAATATAATATAATATTCACAGCATATTAAATAAAAAAATATATAAAGCATATAATTCGGAGCAAATTAATTTGTAAACATATAATTAATCAAATTCAGAAGAAAATTAATTCTTGAATATATATTAATAAGCAAATTAATTCAAACATTTAATCAAATTTATTTGAGGAATCAGGGGAAATTAATAAATGAAACATATTTTAAACTAAAAGCATACATAAATATTAATTTCAGACAAATGGGAAAATAAATATAGCTAGAGTAGCCATGCACCAAATAAATAATATAAAAGTCATTTGTCGGTGTTTGTGATTTGATTGTAAGTGGAGTGATATAGTTTTGACGCTTCTCAACAAGCTGCTCGTGTCCGGTGTAGATCCCTAGATGTAAGGCATTGGCTTTATTATCTAGTACCATATATGTTATAATATTCAATCTACAACTCACACAAGACACACGAGTGCAACAAAACACCAAACTGAAGCTGAAGATCATTTTTTTTCAGCTCACAAACAAACACATTGTTAATCACACAATACCAACCACCAATAACACCACAGCCGATTCCAAAAATCCCCATTACAGTCACAAACACATGAAAGCCACACTTTCCCAAGAAACAACCAACTAAAGGCAAATAACAGCTGGTTACTTACACTGTGAACGGGACAGACAGTAACGCCCTGCTGATCTGTGTGTCTTTACCTTCGCACTTTATCTCAGACGGGAGGAGCTACGACAAGGAGTGGGGGAAAAAATGATAGGATAAGAAATGGAAAAGAGAGATCTAGAAAGAAGAGAGAGAGAGAGAGAGAGAGAGAGCGAGAGAAGAAACAGAAGAAAATCGAACTTCAAGACAGGACAAGTATAATAAACTGGAGTCGTCCGAGAGAAGGGCGGGCTGTTTTTCGGCAGGTGCTAACTTTAACTTCCCCTCCAAATACCAGATACTAAAAAGGTTGCAGTATATAACCTGTCTGCAACTGTGTACAGGTCACTAATCTGCACAAGTGCTGCCATTACACAAACAGATTAACTTTCTAAATTAAAGGAGTAGTTCACTTTTAAAAAAAACTTTTGCTGATAATTTACTCACCCCCATGTCATCCAAGATGTGCATGTCTTTCTTTCTTCAGTCGAAAAGAAATTAAGGTTTTTGATGAAAACCTTCCAGGATTTTTCTCCATATAATGGACTTCAATGGGGTCCAAACTGTTCAAGGTCCAAAAGACAGTTTCAGTGCAAAATGCAAACTGTTCAAAGGGCTTTAAACGATTCCAGACGATGAATAAGGGTCTTATCAAGCGAAACGATCGCTCATTTAATAAAAAAACTTAAACTTAGTTTTTTGTTTTTTATTAAATGAGCGATCGTTTTGTTTGATAAGACCCTGGAATCGTTTAAAGCCCTTTGAACAGTTTGCAGTTTGCACTGAAACGGTCTTTTGGACCTTGAACCGTTTGGTCCCCATTGAAGTCCATTATATGGAGAAAAATCCTGGAATGTTTTCATCAAAAACCTTCATTTCTTTTTTAAAGTGAACTACTCCTTTAACTCCATATTCAGTCAGTCCTACTTAAAAAAAAAAACATAATTATGTAATTTACTAAATAAATGTGAAGATTACTAGAGAAAGGAAAGCCAGCAGGAAGACTTTGAGACTGGTCTCTGATCGTATCTGGACTGTTTGTTCAGCACTCGGCTTGATGAGGGAGCGGCAAAGGAAACATTAACCCATATTCTCTCTCTCTCTGCTGTTTCTTTATCACATACATTACATTGAACAGAAATCACTCTCCCACATGTTGAAATTAAGCATCTTTTTGACCTAATCGAACAAAAAAAGGTCTTTTTAACCAAAAAAATGCTAATAAATTAGGAATAAACGCAAATTTTCCAGTTGCATGGCTGGAAATCACAATTAATCCTTAATTATGGGTAACACTTCCGGTTTGGGTAAATTCCATTCAAAAAGACTGAAACGAATCATTTCACAATATAAACCTGGACTACAATGAATCATTGTTGCTTTATGCTCTATTTTCAGGCGTCTTGTACGTAATAACGAGACACTTGGTATGCAAAACTACATGTTCTATATGGAAGAAAGCCAAAATATTACCCAAGCATGAGAACATCCACTCTGAATCTATATTCATCCTCTTTAAATCATTGCCACTAAAATATTAATGCTAATACAACAAGAAACATTAAGAAGAAACCTTGATAGTCAACCACACTTGGAGGTTGGATTGTAAACTGTTGTATTTGCTGCAGTGTATTACGGTATATATGTTTTTGGCACATTAGATGTCTGCTGCCAAATTGGGCCACAAATTACAGCTGTATATGATTAACAAAAAATATAAATGTACATATCTAAATGTGCAACTGTGGAAGTTAAAGGGAAAGGGATACTCCACTTTTTTGGAAATAGGCTCATTTTACAACTCCCTTAGAGTTAAACAGTTGGGTTTGACCATTTTCCAATCCATTCAGCCGATTTTCTGATATCTGATTGACAGTTTCTGGTCCCATTGACTTCCATAGTAGGAAAAAATATATACTAAGTCAATGGGACCAGAAACTGTCTGGTTACTGATATTCTTCTAAATATCAGAAAATCGTCAGAATGGATTCGAAGATGGTCAAACTCAACTGTTTAACTCTGGGGGAGTTGTAAAATGAGCCTATTTCCAAAAAAAAGTGGAGTATCCCTTTAAGAAAAAAGGAAGCATAACTGCATTTATGCTTCCTTTTTCATACTGCTGTACTTGATGCCACTAATCAACTAATCAAACATGTTAAATCAGGATAAGATCAAGATGTTTAATGGCCGAATCCAATTGCCAATTTTTTTACAACCAAATGGGCCGATTCCGATACCAGTTGCCAATTTTTTTCTCTTGCGATTGTCTCAGAGGATCTATTTACAGACATTGTAAAAGTTCCCCACAAACAACACTTTGGGAAATTATTGTAATGCAGTTTGTGTGCAAATTATTCTCAAAATCGACCAGTGCATTCCTACCGCTAAACTAGTCTAAAAGCTAATAGGAACCTCAGGTCATATAATCATCGCCAATGCCAATAGGTTTTTGGGAAATAAATATGCACATTAACTTAAAGGGATATTTCACTTTTGAAATACATTTTTGGTATGGTTTATCTTACCTCAAGGGCATCCAAGATGTAGTTGTGTTTGTTTCCACAGTAGTTTCAATTTTGATATTTTTATATGGAGGTCTATGGTCACCACCTCAAAGAGCATGCACAGAGAAGTCCAAATTAAACATGATTCAATGACTCCTAAATGTAAGTACACATTGATGGCCTAAGACACGAAACGAGCGGTTTGTGTGAGAAAACGAACAGTATTTATATCGTTTTTACTTCTTGTAACCACAGCCGAATGATCTGAGGGCACGGGCGCATTGTGGCTGTGATTACAAGAGGTAAAAACAATATAAATACAATTCGTTTTCTCACACAAAACGCTCGTTTCGTGTCTTAGGCCATCAATGTGTACTTACATTTACGAGTCATTAAATCATGTATAATTTGGACTTCTCTGTGCATGCTTTTTGAGGAGGTGACCATAGACCTCCATTATATGACCGACAGACAAGAACGGTTTGACCTCAAAATTGAAACTACTGCGGACACCTACATCTTGGATGCCCTTGAGGTAAGCTAAAATATACCAAAAATTAATTTCAAAGTGAACTATCCCTTGTGTCAAGACAATAAGAGCCAATCCTACCTCTCTCCGTCACCCACTCTGGATCTGGGATCATGTAAGTCCCATCTGAATCAGACATGCAGGTCGATTGAACAACAGAACCTGACAATGACTCTCCAGCACGCGCTCCTTCAGTCTCTGACGCCTCCACCAGAGCTGAATCTGGGGCTGAATGTGGGTCACGAGATGCTGAATCCATCTCTACAGTTGAATCAGAAATAGTCTCCTTTTCCAACACATCTTCAACGGCATCTGCCACAGAAGCCGAAACGGGCACGAAACTACCAACCACGGTTAAATCTGGTGAGGTCTTCTCTGCCGGAGTTGATGTATTGGTCTCGGGCACCTCTTGGGATTCTCCCGCTTCTGGTGTGAAATCCTGCATGTCGAATTCCAATAAAACCTTCTCAAACTCCTCAACAGCAAAAGCTGATGCAGTTTCTTCATCCATCACGGGGAACAACAAAAGGAACCGCGCCCGAAGGAATTGGGCACAGGATCCGGAAAAGTCTGGACTCGAGAGTGGGACGAAGAAAGGAAGGGTCGTTCCCAATCCAAAGCATTCAAAACATTCCACAGGGCTCGATTATGTATACAGCCGGCAGTTCGCTAGATAACGGTCTCTCTCTCAGGGGGATTTGCTTACGTAAGCTTTTAGACACTACACAAACCCATATATGACCACGTTTTAGGGTCTATGAAAATATATTACGGTGCTAAACATTCCCAGACGTCATCTAGAAAGAAAGTTATTCCGAAAATCCCTAGAAAACCGGCAAGAATGAGTATAGAACCTTCATTCCTTTGAAAGATTATACAGGATGCCACTTATTTAAACATCTATCTCGACAGACAATCTCTGGTCAGCTTCACAAGTGGGACAGTCCACTCAATACGGTCTAACTGTCCCCCCACAGAATGATAGCCCCTTCTCAACGCATGCTTAAAGTCAACATGAAACCGAGGTTGTGATAGGGAAGAAAAGACTATTGTAACATATATCTGAGTGAAATAGTTTTGCTTGTTCAAGGAGAATTGAATGGATGGTTGTGGTTAGCTATTGTTTACCCCGCCCTCGCGCCAGTAAACACATCAGAAGTGAAGAGATGAGTTATACTGATTAAAGGGGTCATGAACTGGCTTTTTAAATTTTATTATATTGGTGAACTTAAGACGTTCGCTTGGTTTTTGCATTCAAAAACATCAAAATGAACATGACGAGTATGAATAAATATGATTACGAGTAGAGCCCGACCGATAAAGGATTTTGAAGGCCGATAACGATACAAATATTTTTGGGTTTTAAAATCCGATATATCGGCCGATATTTTATTTATTTATTTATTTTAAACTGGACATGATAGTCACAAATTTTGTCCTGCTTATTTGAGTTCAGAGAACTGATGGGGATGTTCTTTTAATTGTTATTCAAGCAATGTATGTGTCGTGACCAACTCAACGAGTGTTGCCAACAGGAACGGTGTAGAGTGCCCTCTGGTGGACAAACTATACAACTCCAACACTCAGGACATGGTTCAAGCGTGTTTCGTCTGTTTTTATTTTATTTTTGAAATATTTATTTATCGGCCATTATAACTGCCGATACCGATAGTTTGGAAAATGCCTAATATCGGCCGATAATATCGGTCAGCCGGTATATCGGTCTGGCTCTAATTACGAGTATTCGTGAATAAAGCATGTGATGCAACACAGTCAGAGTCAACAGATTGTGTAATTTCAGTGCAACATAATAAAGTCAAAAACGATTTAATATACTGCAAATAACCTTGGGGGTAGAGCCCGACCGATAAAGGATTTTGAAGGCCGATACCGATATACAAATATATTTTGGTATTAAAATCCGATATGCCGATATATCGGCCGATGTTTTTTTTTTCGAAATGCTCAACAAAACATTAACGGATTTCCTTAACATAAGTTATTTGTAGTTACTTGTGAGTTTTAACTAAAATATTATGATCATGCATTTTAAAAATAAACTTTTTTCTTTTATTGTCACAACAGAACAGACTGATGATAGTATTAGTGGCATTACCTAGCTTTGTGATTAGCTAGTCTATGATGAGCCATAATTTAGCAATGGATGACGTCATACTACAAAGTGGAAAACATACATTTTCAATATAACAGGCCAAGGAGGAGAGATGATACGTCTCATTGATATAACGCTATTAAAGAAATACTTAAGTTAAAAGGACAGTCAGTCAACTACACGATAACAACGTAACGTAACTATTACTAGCTAATTCCGCTTCACTCTCGGCTTATTTAACAGCAGCAAAACTGGACAGTCACAAATTTTGTCCTGCTTATTTGAGTTCAGAGAACTGATGAAGATGTTCTTTTAATTGTTATTCAAGCAATGTATGTATCGTAACCAAATCAACGAGTGTTGCCAACAGGGACGGTGTAGAGTGCCCTCTGGTGGACAAACTATACAACTCCAACACTCATGACATGGTTCAAGCGCGTTTTGTCCGTTTTTTTTTTTTTTTTTTTAAATATTCATTTATCGGCCATTATAACTGCCGATACCGATAGTTTAGGAAAATGCCTAATATCGGCCGATAATATCGGCATGCCGATATATCGGTCTGGCTCTAGTTGGGGGGAGTTATTACTTGCATTTCAAGTTTGCACAGGTTTTCAAGTTTGCGAGGCGCACCCCACCTGCGACAGCACTGGTTGTACGTCACACACACGACTAGCGTCGGCCAATAATGAGCCTACGTGTGACGTACAACACAGAAGCGCTGCGCAGTTACACAACATGAACTCACCGTCTTTAACTTTTCTGGGCCGGCAAGTTTCGACCCCTTATAAGCCTATGGAGGAGTGAAGCACATGTTTACTTCTATGCCCCCATCTGGTCAATGAGTGGAAGTGCAGATAACACTTTCTTCGCATAAACAGACAATAATAAAACTCGAGCTGAGAAACAAGTCTCCAATGACTATTTACTTGCAGAAAACTACCTACGCAGAGGGGTCAAACCTGACAGATAAAGTGTCTAAATTTGGCCCCTTGGCATCTTGGCCACAAGAAGACTTATTTATGACAGTCAAATATAAAGTTCTCAACCCCAAAGTTCTTCCTAAGTTCTGACCTTCAGAGATTTGAGACCAACAGAGTGGTCAGCCAAGGAGGGAGACCCAAGACCCCTGTACTAAAATAAGAAGCCTTCAGTCCTAAACCTGCCACAGAGAGACGATGAAATGCATGCCACGCCGTAAAACCTGATAGATCCAAGGGAGTTAAGCATTAATAACCCTGAATTCTTGAGCGTTTGGTTATTTACATGTGACACAGATGTCAAACCAGCAAGAATGAGGGAGAGCACTGCATTAAGGAAATGACACTATCACACGATTTCCTACAACAGAGCGAGAGTAGAGAGGCGATAAAGAGACATCTTGCACAACTACAGATATATAAGCTGTTTATTTAAAAATATTATGCTTCGATTCTCAAAGGATGTATTATGTTGTTTAATATTATAAGATATTAACTATATGAACCATATGAAATATATCAGTATTTATATACACTACAGTAAATATACAAACAGCATATTGACTACTCTAAAATATATCAAGTCAAGTCAAGTCAAATATATTTATAAATAGCGCTTTTCACAATACAGATTGTATCAAAGCTGGACAACTTAACAGTGAAAAGACAATCAAGTTTGGTAGAGCTGATCAATGATGGGTTTGGGTCATTTAATTTGAATATCCCCAACTGAGCAAGCCAAAGGCAACAAGTTTCAAGTATCCAAGTTTCATTTCTATAGTATTGTCCGTTGAGTAGATAATATACTAAAATGTTTGCTGAAATGTGAGGGGTGTACTCACTTTAGTGAAAAATACAATAATTTAAATAAAACAACCATCAAATATTAATTATTAATGCTTTGAATAGTAAAAACTATTCAAGATTTACCAATATGCGACAGTTTAAATAAGCAACCATTCAACATAGTTAATTACATTAAAACCATCAGGAAAAGATTGTGGAGATTGTATCCTCCGGCTCATCTATATTTAAGCCTGTGTGTTTATTTTAATTATTATTCTGTCAGAGTGACGCCATGTGGGACCAATTGCCTTCTCTGAGTGAAACACACAAATAGAAAGAGACAGTGAGAGTCCAGTTTCATTATCAAAACTGCTATTTATACCAGCAAACCATCTCATTAATAACCCAAGAATTCATATAAAACGATAGCCATCTCACGAGGATAATCTGTTGCAGTCTACAATACGTGTTGTAATGTGGTCAAAAGATCTTGAAATTAACCATAAGCCAATGATGAAGCAACGCAGCTGATGACACAAATGACCCATCGTGAACATTCCCAGACAATAACAGCTATTCAGACTTATCTCAAAAACAGGACTAAGGTATTACTGGCCCCTGTGATTGTGATTTTGACTCTTTAAATGTGAACATGGAAAGATATTCAGGCTATTTTAACTCCAAAAGCCGAAATATAATAATTTAAAAATTAAAAAATACAATAAATATAATAAAAAATAAAATAGGAGTGAAGTTCTCTTTAGATGGGAAGTCAAAGCACATGTATTGGTAACACTTTACAATAAGGGTGCACTAATAAGCATTAATTCATGCTTAACTAATACACAGATAATACTGAATTAATGTGTAAGTAATGATTATCTAAGCTATTCATTAATGATTACCACATTAGGAACTAATTAAGAGTCTGTAAGGTTAATGCATTAGTTCATACATTAATTGTTTTTAATTAAATATGTAATTGTGGATTAATTCCATAATAACTCATTTTTTTAACTAATAGTGTTAATTAATATGTTAATTATCAGAATGAGCCAAAGCCTTGTATTTAAACTTCCAGATAATATGACAGGTACACTAATATGCATTAATACATGATTACTTACTTGATTGTTAGTGCAAATTCATGTGAAAATTACTACAATTACTAAATGACTAGTTAATAATGATGTGCCCCATCAAGTAAAGTCATAGCATAATGATACCTTTGCAAATCATTAGCTAATGATTAATTAAAGCAGACAACTGGAAGTTGAAGTGCATAGCTTTGACTAATTGTGGTAATTAACACATTAATTTACACTATTAGTTAATAAAATATGTTAAAGAATTAATATACAATGACACATTGAATTAATAGCAATTTATGTATTACTTAATCTATTAATCATATAGACTCTTTATTAGTTGCTGATGCAGTAATCGTTAATTAATGGTTTAATTCTTCATTAGTTATACATTAACTCATGATTATCTGTGTATTAGTTAAGCATGAATTAATGCATATTAGTGCACCCGTATTGTAAAGTGTTACACATGTATTAGTAATTGTTCCAGCTGCCCTCTACAGGTGTATCTGAGTGAACACAAGAGCACACGCCCAAACTACCTCAACCGAAACAGCCTGAAACATACGGGTCC